ACAAATATAAATGTAAAGTATTGTGTCAATTATTTAACTTTACTAGTTTGTCAATAAGTGACTCACAACGAATAAGTTGTTTTAACTTACAATTTAGAGTGGACCTCCTGGGACATGCAAAAAATGTTAAAATTAACATTTTTTTTTTTACTGTGTATAAACATACATATAACTTAGGATAGACTAAAAAGAATTGCTATATATTGAGATGTCACAAAACTAGTAGAATCTACAATATTTTAGATATGGAACACTAAGTATCACAAAATTATTAAATACTTATATATTACAGACACTTGGTAATTAACACTGTGTTACAACATAACTTTTTTGCTTTTATAGAATAAACTCCTGGAAATATTGAATAAGTTTCTTGATGACATATCATATACACAGTTTTCGGAAAATAGTGCCAATAATCAATTCTATCATGAAGTTTTAAAATGGACATGTATTTTTGGTAGTTTAAAGTGCAAAGAACATGTTATTACAATATTCGAATTGCAATCTTGGGATCCTGCACAGTACAAGTACGTTATTCTATTTTGTCAATAGCAACTGGACGTTCGTTGAAGTCACAAAGATCTTATGCGTGCTACTGGATTTATATCTATGGAATAACACTAATGGATTAGACTTTAAGAAGAGTTATATTTATTTAAGTAAAGTTTTAAATAACCAACTGAGTGCAAATTGTTTGTAACTTGCCACAAATATTGCTCATCTCTCCAAGGCAAATTGTGAAAATATTGCACAAAAATGGCATCATGAATGGCGACTATCCTGCAATGATTGCGCTTAGATGATTCGCTATAACGTAACAGTTTTGGCGAAATAAAATTTTGTAAATATTATTTGTCAAAACTTGCAAAAAAGTCGTTATGCATTTTTATAAGTATATTCATGAATTACGTTGATTTGTTCATATGCAATTATATTACTATATATTTTAAACATCACATAGCTGAAATTTTTTTCTCACTTATTGGACAATGTTTTTGTAAAATTAATTTTGCAAATATACTAAGATGATTTGCCATATCGTTATTCTTTTGCCGAAATAATATTTGCAAAATAATTTTACAAACAATTACAAATATTTTATAAACGATCAATGATTTACATTTATTTCCTAAACTATATCTGTCTAATTGCAAATTGCAAATTTTAGTGCAAAATTTTGTCACATAATTTTGTAAATGTTTTCTTATCTGGGATAAGGTTTCAGCACTGTAAGAAAAGAGTGTATTTTGTTTTCAGTACGTTCTTGCTAGCAACGGTCTTATTATAAAATATAATAACAGCAAGTTTCCAACAGCTCATCAACAATAAACTTATATTATTTTTCAACTTACGAATACAAATCATTGCTAACATATTGCTCACATTGTGCTCACTCACTTGTCATAAACATTGTCTACAACAATTAGTTAACACTAAAACTCACCAAATTGATACTAAATTAACAAAAACATTTTTGTTGCATTAAATAAAAAAACACACCAACAATTGGCGAGCACCTTAATCTAAGCAATGATTTGCTTTATATTGTGTTTTCACTTTTGACTATTTGGGATAATATATTTTTTTCTTGCAGACTGTTGCCAAGTTGGCAGAAGTGGATATATTGCCAAAGACTAATGTTAGAGACTGTCATTTATGAAACGTCTGCTGTGTGGCAAGATATAGTCAAGATATACCAGAAACAAGAGAAACTAGAACAACTTTTCGAATTCTTACCTTGCTCTAAACACTATCAGGAGCGGTTGGTCTTTCTCTCGTTTCTTGATCGTAACTCTTTACTAATACCTGAAAGTAGTTTAAATGCAGACAATGGTGATGTTTACAAAACAATTGTAAATGAAAAGAAAAGTGTTACTGTTACTTTACTTTTTAATANTTTTGCTATGCATTCAAAAATTATGTCAGCGCTTGATGATATACTAATTGGACTAGGAAATGGAATAGGAAGGTAAAAAGATTATTTTCTATTTATAAGCATTTTTATGCAGTAAAACAATTATTTAGTTTACATAATCTGCATATTTCTTATAATATCATTAATCTATATTATTCTCATGTTGTATTGTATAATGTATAATAGTAATTTTACATTTGAAGTGAAAATTTGGTTTTTGTTTTCTAGAGACGTGAACATACTAGCAATAATAAATTGTATTATAAACAACATATATTCAGCCGACGGTTTGACAAGGGTATGTTGTATAATCTTCTTTATTTTTTGTAGTTACTTTAACGAAAAAGAACTACTGGCAATAATATATTGCGGCAGTGGTACGAAAAAATGACTGGCATTCTGTGTAATTGCCAGTAATATTCTCAGTGATTCCTGTAATACCGAATAATATTCTTATGTAATTGTCAGTAATATTTATATTACTGACTTTATTTATATGTAATCGGCAGTAGTTCTTTTTCGTAAGGGTATATATGTACAACAGTATTTTTGTATTACATATATACATAGGGTGTCCGACAATTAATGTAAAATCTCTCGTAGGCAGGTAGAAGGAGTAAACTTGTTCCAAAAAGTCGAGAACCATTTTTTTCGGTTACATATAATAAAAAAGTAATTAAAAAGTAAATAATCAACCACGCGCTTAGTGTGCGTAAGCTCTCCGCGCGGCTCACAAGCGAACGTCCGGCTAAAAGTCGTCGCTGAGTAGCTTGATTTATTCACTAAGTACTTTTTTATTATATGTAATAGAAAAAGATAATTAAGGACTTTTTGACTCAGGTTTACTTCTTCTATCTGCCTACGAGAGATTTTGCACTAATTGTCGGACACCCTGTATATATGTATGTATATAATAAAAAATGTATAGAGGTATAGTGTTGTCTAGATTCATACCTGCTTTTGATATAAGAAAAGAATAATTTCTCAAGAAACAATGGAAAATCATATAGGAGTATATGTGAGTTGGATGCAATTTTGTATGATCGTGTACACTTGTATATAAGTCAAATATGATTTTATATAAGTTGGATATGATTCTATGTGATCGTGTAAAATCAAATCTGAAATCTGACGCGATCTGATTTTATAAAATTATATATAAATATAAAAAATTATATACTATTGTACATACTTTTATGTATTTATATATGATCCTATAAAATTAGATTGCGCTAAATTTGAAATCTGAGTTTACACGATCGCATAAATACATATTCAAGTTATATAAAATCATATTCGACTTGTTTAAATGTTTATACAGTCATACATAATTACATCCGAGTTACATATAATTGTATATAATCACATGATGTTTCATTTTATCTCGAATTTCTATTATTGAATAGTGTTACACGATGTAAGGAAATCACACTAAGTTATACTAGTACATGTTTTTTTTTCAGATTGCTAACGAACTATTTTTAAAGAAAGTGCTGCATATGCATCACATGATAAATGTATGTATAGATTATTAAAAGTATTATTTCACTATTTTTTTGGAATCGGAGGTTACTTTTTCTTTTTCTTCAAATAGAACTTATTGTTTATATTTGTTAGATAAATATTATTTCTAGTAAAAGTATATCCCGTAAGTCTTATAAAATTTATACACAAGTATACAGGATTGTATTATAAATATATTTTGTAATTTGTTTTAGGAATCATTTGTTCTCGATGCCATTAACAAAAAAGTTGAAATTCGACGTGAGTTTTTGATTAAAATGGAAACTACGCTTTATTGTGAGCCACAGTATAGTTTTAATTACAAACGCTACTACGTAGTGTCGCCCGCTGGCTGTAAATAAGTTTTCTTTTTATAATAAACCACTGTATGTATTTCTTTTTTTTTATTACAGTTTATAGTTTGTAACCAAAATCTTTTAGATAAAAATGTCTACTGATTTGTCGTGTCCAAATCTTGTGTGTTTTTTTAAGTAAGATTTATTTTACGATAACAAAATCGACTTATTAATTATAGCTAAAATCGAAAAGATACGTTTCGGATTTTAATATTTAATAGTTAGTAAAGTGTTATCTATAAAATAAAGTTCTTTCTTCAATAAAATACATTATTTATATTACGCGCCGGCTTTTACATATATGTATAGTTAAGTATTGCGCACATAAATATAAATATATCAATCTCACGTTACATAAAGCAAAGTAGATATTTTAGATATAAAAAAATTTATATAATTTAAGAGAAAAGTTGATATCATGCAATACCATTCAGTGTTATGTGAGAATATAACAATTACTAAGTCACCAGTATTTCCAAAATGTTAGTAATAAGTTAGAGGTTCTTATGTTTGTTCTAGAAAAAATAGTTTTTTCAATTTAGTTATAATAAAAATATTAGTTGCATTGAAAGTATCGTATTACTTCCTAACGTTTCCTTAGTTTCTTACACTATGCAAGTGTTTTCAAAAAGTTCTGTTGTGAACACGTTTATATGCATGCATTTACGTCTCTTATTTCATTGGCGTTTTGCGACTAATGTAGAACAACGACCTTTAGTGTATATTACAACCGCACTTGTTTCTTAGAAGCACTATTAAGTAAAAACGGAAATGTGATTACATTACTCAAAGTAAGTCAGTAATGGTACATAATTTTTAGCAAAGAAGAGACAGAGAGAGACTACGTTATTGTACTTTTTTAGGTCCGAAGTATTAATATTTGTATACTGGTTACGCATAAGACAAATGAGAATCAATGAGAGCCTTTCACTCTGTATCTTGTTCTGGAAGGTTCTGATTGATTGATTCTCTTATGTGTTATGCGATATTCAAAATTACCATGTGCCTTTACAATTATGTCACATTTGGTAAATTGCTTATTTAAAAAAAAGGGTAACAAAATCAGAACATACTTATACAATATTTGCGATAGTTTCTTTTACGCGTGAGCAAGTAACAAAAGTAAACACGAGACACTTTATGTGTAACGTGCACAAACAACAATAAAACATAAAACAATGACGAAGTTAGTTGCACTTTTCACTCAATGTGTTAGCATATATGATGTAAGTTTGTTTCTCTTGCTTCTTGTGAGATACATTTTTTCTTGTGTCAAGCTTCCCACTTTGCTTTTTTTTTAAATCCATTATTTCAAACAGACTTGTCTGCAATATTATAAAAAGGATGTTGAGTGAGTGCTGTTGTGCGTATTTGTACTGGTAATATATACATATAAGGCAAATTCTCTAATTTGTTTATTTTCATAGATATCATGCATGTTTCACTATATATAGTACATATAGTATATAGGTCAATCTATCAAACAAGGGCAAAATATTAACGGTGTTTTCTTCAAGATTTCGATGATATCACGGTTGTAAACGAAATAAAGTAACTAAATACTTTCTTAGTATCAAATTCAACTTAATTCACAAGATCTCTTGTTTTGGATCGGGCAAGTTTGAACCGTTTTGCTGGGTGTTGTGCAAATAATTTGAAATGCAGTATATATTATCCAAACGTTTCGGTTTATTTTGAACCTTCCTCAGTGGATTACTTAAATAGAACAATCCCTCCTTATTGTTATAATGACGAAGAGTTATAAAAAAAAGTTAGTCATGTTGATTAAAATTAGTTGGTCTGTGTGTAAATGTGTGTATATGTCAATAGTTTCGTCATTACTGTAATGACGAAACTATTGACATATACACACATTTACACACAGACCAACTAATTTTAATCAACATGACTAACTTTTTTTTATAACTCTTCGTCATTATAACAATAAGGAGGGATTGTTCTATTTAAGTAATCCACTGAGGAAGGTTCAAAATAAACCGAAACGTTTGGATAATACAAACTGCATTTCAAATTATTTGCACAACACCCAGCAAAACGGTTCAAACTTGCCCGATCCAAAACAAGAGATTTTGTGTTAAGAACCCAATTCACAACAACATCACATCTATTTTAATTCACAAGACCTTAATTGAAACNATAATGTACAGAAAAAAAACCACAGAAAAAAGAAAAAGAAAATTTAAAAAAAGTAACAAAAGAATAAACTTTGCCTATGTTTAACGAATGCAACGATATCAAAATGTACTATGTGATAAAAGTTCTCGCGTTATATGTTAAGACAAAGTAATGCAAGTTTGTTATACAATAATAAATTGATTCAAAGTACGTAAAGATCGTCAATATGTACAGATTTCTTGATCGCGATTATTCAATAATTNNAGTGGCAAAGAANAAGGAATTTTGACAAGTGACAAGTCAATATAGATTTCTTATGAAAAACGATAAGTTTTTAAAAACGGCATATGTGCTAGAAATTAGTGAAATTTCAATATATTGACGCTATAGTTTTTTATGTATGAAAGTTTTGACGCGTTATGGTGAATCGGAATTCGTTCGGAATCACTGTATTGCAAGTTTTTGCCGACTTCAATGCGGCAGGCAAGCCGACAGCTCACGTGACTTTGTATCGCTCGTAAAAATAAGTCAATATACGGTCTTGTCAACAGCTGATGACACTTACCTGAGTTGTTCGCAATTAATATTCTGCTTATTCAAAGCAGCTACACGATTTTTATTTCTTTATAAAGATAGCGCCAGAGAATTTGCGAGTTCTATTTGCGGTTTGTGTCTCTCGACGGCGTCCAGTCGCTTTATTTTATAAGTAAAAGCTTATGCATTATGCAGTCAAGCTATCACTTTACAAAAAATATATGTATATATTAGACTGTATGTATTGCTTTTTTTGGTAACTTGTTTAAACAAAGCATAAAACTCCAAATGTACTTCAGTAGTCCAGCGTTTTGTAAGCGCTTTTGCAGATTCATTTGTCTGGTTTACATTGCTGTAAAGAAAAAGTACAAGTTCCAACACATTATTGGATAAGATTTGAAGCATATTACTTAAGTTACGTATGTATTTTTTGGCTTAAGTATTATGTATAACTGTGTTTATCGCTTACAGAAATGTATTATTAAAGCATCAGTAATTAATTATTGTCGTTAAATAATTTAATCATTAAATCGCAGTGATTTTTAGTACTTTACTTACTACTGTGTCAATAATTTTCAGTAGTTTAGTAATTGTAGTATGTGTGTTTGATACTTTTTGAATGAATCTTTAATAATTTAGTACACGACTCAATTACTGGTCCAGTAAATGAGTCGTGGAATAAATTACTGAAGAATCATTGAGAGATTATGTAATGAATTACTTGCTAAGTAAAGGAACTATGTGATTCATTACTCAGACTCAATAATAAATCATTGAATCAGTAATATGGATGCACAATAAATTAAGTTCTGAAGCTTTATGATGAATGATTGACTCAATGATTTAGCTGTGACAAAACTTACTGGCACATTTATAATAATACAATAAGAGAAATATTTTTATCTACTGTTGCAAATATATTGAACTGCAATATTTTTACGAAAATAATAATTTAAATAGATAAAATAAAATGTATAAGATAGCTTGAGAATAAGTAGATAAAAATAATTTCGATTTATTAAGGAACAAGTCGTCTCGCGGACTGAATAAGAGGGCTGCAAATATAGAGATGTCGAGTTGAAATCATCTTTAACCTTTTCGCTCCGGGGATTTTTCCTTTAAAATTGACCTCGCATTTTAGCTGAAAAAGTTAATAATAACCTGCTACCCCCCACCCTTCAAAGTTAATTTTGAAGGTCAAAGAAGTAACCTGGATTTTTTTCAATTTTTTTCTTAAATTTAGTGCATTAAATTGACCTTATAAACATCTATTACGTTCGCTTTTTTTGTTGGTCCATATATGGACCAGTCCCGGAGCGAAAAGGTTAAGATTTGTTTAGGTCTGGTTCTTTTCCATGGAGTTCATCGGTCGATCGGCGAAATGATTTGTTTCCGAAACTTAATTTGAGTGAAACCTCGAATTAATTTCTCTTCCAAAAAACTATGTGCCAGTGATATTTGTTTTCTTTTAGTAAAGAAATTTCACTTGGATTCTAGATAGAATCTATTTCTTGATTGTAAATCGCACAACGTTACATTGCCAATTAAAATTGATATAAAATTTTCAAAGAGAATCCAATATATTTTTAAAAAATTTACTTACTGTTCGAATAAATTTCAAAAAAATGTTTAAGCACTTACTAATAGTAATTTATTTAGTACGTCATCAGAAGTAAGTCCTTAGTACTTATCTAATAATTTTCAGTAATTTTCCAAATTATTACTGGATCATAGAATACTAATAATTTATTTTTCACTTTGGTTTAATAATTATAAGTACTCAATTTCTGTAAAAGATATTGAACTGTACTAAGATAACGTGACAATTGTCGTATGAATTACAAGTATGACTCTGTATTACAAGTAATTTCAAAGTTCTCATCAAAATAACAAAATTGCACAAACTAGAATAGTATATTTAAAGTTACAATAAATGTCAAATAATTATTTTGCATCAATCAATTCAGACTAATAAAAATTTTACTATTAATTACTTTTTCAAAAATTCTTGCTGTAAAAACTTTTCTTGCATTTCAATTAAATGATTATTTCGTGTCTCTATTTTTGTCAGGCAAATCTATAAAGTTGTACAACATATTTTTCGAAGAAAGGCTACCGAAAAATACAACGTTCGCGATAAACGTGACATCACGCAAGTCACTGCGAACTTTTGCGTTAAAACGGAAAAAATAAAATCTGGATTATAGCGATCTCGAATGCAGTTCCGAATATTTATCCAGCAAACAAATTCTGTGCATTTTTATCAGTGGAATATCTGTCTATTTACAATATTTCAAATTACATTTTCTAAATTATGAACAATATTTCAAGTACAGATTTCGACGAAAACTATCTCATTATTAAATAAAACAGTCTGTATGTTAAATTATATTCTCATATTTAACCGTGAAAACGACATATATAAAAACTTTTTCTATCATCGTACACCTACATAGAAGAGAACGAAAATAAGGTCGTTTTCCCAAACACAGATGTTTACTTTCTGGCACGTAGAT